AGGACATGGGTTTTACTCACCAAAATCCAACGAGGACATCAATATTGACGGGCTCGTATGGAATCTGAATGGAAATGGTACTTGCATACGTCTCTTAGTATTTCTCAGAGTCGTGAGAAACTCGACTGACAGCTATGGAACAAACACGTATGTTGCTTTCATAGGCACCGGAGCCTGAGAACTCACCAACAACCAAACAGCAGCGGCATAGAAACCAAAGCTGGGACGATGCGGGACCCCAAATGCGGGTCCCATGTTTTCGTCGAGAAGAGGCAGGTCCGGAGCATTTGTGGATACTGCCCAACTATGAGCAACAAACTGACACTGACGAACGCTAGCAAGCTCGCTAGAAACAATCATATGAGTCACGGTCAAAATATGCGTAGATCACTTTAGTAAAGCGGGTTGGTTGCAGCATACATGTGCAGAAAGCCTTGCCAAACGATAGGGCGCCCACCAAACACGGTATGATGGTTTGTGATAAACGTTTGCCGCGCTTGCGTAGTTCTGGTCAAGACAGCAGCTGCGGAAGTGTTCTGCGCATGTTAGCTTTGTACTACAAGCCGAGGTTTTGCAGCTGGAGCTGCGGAAGTGTACTTCGCGTACTAGACTTGCACTAAACTACAAAGTCGCGATTTTCGAGCGGAGCTGCGGAAGTGTACTGCACGTACTAGACTTGTACTACAACTTGCGATTTTAGAGCTGGAGCTGCGGAAGTGTACTTTACGTACTGGACTTGTGCTACAAAGTTGCGATTTCGAGCTGGAGCTGCGGAATACTTGGCGTACTAGACTTGTACTACAAAGTCTTCTTCGCGTGCTGGACTTAGACTTGTACTACAAAGTTGGGATTCTCGAGCTGGAGCTGCGGAAGCGTACTTCGCGTCTAGACTTGTGCTACAAAGTTGCGATTTTCGAGCTGGAGCTGCCCAAGGAAGTGTACTTCGCGTAGCAAACTTGTACTACAAGTTGCGATGTTCGCCTTTCTCCCAGCCCATCTTGATGGGTGTGAGAGAGGGTTCCTCAAAGAAAAGCACTGGTTAACAACGCCTTTGCCAGCTGATTGGGTGTGTCTTAGAATAGGGGACGCCCAAACTGGGTGGTTTTCCTTTTGGCATCCTTTTTGAACCACACCAAAAAGCGTACTCAACAAAAAGTCACACTCAGACCGACTCATTTCGAGGATCCCCCTTGTCAAACATATTTCTCTGGGATGCATCCTTCAAAGAAACGCTGCAAGCCGACCTGCGATTCGCGGTCCAAAATGAGTGCTTTCACCTTGCAGGGTCTTTTTGGATTGTGCGGGGTTGATCAGGTCAATGCGGGGCGCGTACTTTGCTGCGAACCGGTCTGGGAGATTCCCGCCCACCGATGAGAGCGGGCCTCGGATGCCTTCAAAGATGTCCAGTGAGCCAAGCTCCTAGTGAAAGTTTCCACAGGAGTTCTTTGCATGGCATCAATCTTCTGTGCTCGGAGTGCCATCAGCCCTGGAAGTGGACACGGGGTTTTGAAGGGACAGCCATCCTCTTCAAGAGCCTTGTAAGGCAAAAGGGCAACAGGGTTTTGACAGGAGGGAAGGGGTTAGCGCCTGGCTTGGAGCTTCTGTCGGGCTCCACCTCTGAAGTTGCCACCTGAATCTTGGGTCAACATGGCTTCGGCAGTGCATCAGGAAAGCGGGGACAGTGCTTGTCGTTTTTGGGGTTGATCAGTTTATCTTGGAAGGATGTCCAATGGAAACCTAAGGAGGGAGTTCATCTCCTCAGAATTCTATAGTCCCAAAAGTTGGAACCTAAGTGCTCGCTGGACATTGTCCAGTCTTACATGACCACAGCGGTTGCACGTGAATCCGCTAAACGTATCAGGGCTCCTTAAAAGATACATTTTGCCCATTTGAAACATGGCTTTTCCCACCAAAATAAAGGGAAACTACCATTTACAAGGCAATGTTCAGGTGTGTAATGTAAGGATCCCTGTGTAACTCCTACCATTTTCGGATGGCATCGACTCGCGCGAGTCGATGCGCTTGAATCGCGAATCGGTCCGACAGGGAGGACTTGGATCCGGCGGCCATGGAGGTGCAGCGAATGAGCGAACCGGGAAAGGTGTTTCCCTGTTTTGGACCTCCAAAAATGGCAGAATCAAATGGAAATTGATCAACATTTGGGGTCCCTCATTTTTTTCACTTCCTCGCCCCTCCCCAAAGTAGCCATTTCAATAAACACCACCGGTAAATTGATCAACTTTTGAAAAAAACAAAAAAAAAAAACATCCGGTGAGTGTCACTTGTCGACCCGGTTCAATCATAATCCCACCGGTTGCCTTGGTGCGAAAAGTGGTGACACTTTTTGCGCGTCCACCTGGACCATAAGTTTTGGTGGGATTTTTTTCATAAGGTTATCTTGAACAACTCATGAAGGGCAAGGTCTTTTCTTGCTGGTGCGTTTGTCTCTCGTCTCCTCCCACATGATGATGTTGTATTTTAGGGTCGACCAACTGTGAAGCAGAATCTGAGAGCATCGATATTCTTTGTACCCCCGGATTTGGCCCAACATGTGAGCTCCCATAGGATTTGAACCGATTCCAGTTTGAAGCGTGACGTGCATAAAACTGCCATCCCGTCATGAGGCTTTGTTATTATGGGGACTGGCTTCTGAGTTGTCCCATCCTTTAGAGTGGCTTTGTTTCGACAAATGCAAGCAAAACGCCCAGTGAAGCAGCCCACACTGAAGCACTTGTAGCCATACTTGAACGCCAAGTTCCAACTTACATTTGTGCCTGGAATCAGCATAGCGAGCAACCGACCTTTTGGCGGTCATGTGGCTGTGGTTGTCAAAACCAATGGGATCCCATCTTGGGGTAGGTGAATTCACCATCCATCTTAGAACCTATTCTAGTGGGGATCTCTGTTTTAGTGGTTGGATTGGTGGATGTTCACCAGCGGTACGGGCTTTGGATTTCGACCCATGGCCATGTGAGCTCCAAAGCTGGCCAGGTGGACGAATTTGGCCACACCAGGCCCGGCGCTTGGGCCCAAAAGAGCGGGGTGGACTAGCGGGGGGGGGGTGGTGGGGGTTGAGTGCACCTGTGTCTGTGTAGACTTGGTGGACAATTCACAGTTGGCACAGTTGTGGCATCCAAATGATTGTATTATTGTCTGGAACTGAGGCCAATCTTTTGTGCAGGGTTCCCCCATTCTGGTTGAAGGGTTGGTTGGCCTCAAAACTCTCGGAATCAGCGGCTTGGGCATGGTCAAAGAGTATGACTTTGGAACACGGCATGCCGTTCGTTTGGGAACGAGCGATTTTGCAGCCGATTCGGGGGCTCGTGAAGGTGGCGATTTGTGGAGATGGACAAACGGTGGGGAAACCCGCTGGCGCTTGCATCCTTACATCCCCCAAAAGGCGAGGCTCCTATCATGTGAACTCGGAGCTTAAGATCTGGTTCATTTGGCGCAAGTGATGTCCATTCCACTAAAAGCTAAACAGCCCAGTTGAAGTCGATCATCTTGGCGCCTCCCGCATTTCATTTTCCGGGTTTTTGCGACGGCGCGATCATCCGCATGGGTCTAGCGCTGGATATGGGCATGTGAACTCAAGGGTGTCACTCTTCAACCGCTCGCGTTGAGACCGCGTCGACTCTTTGGTTCCCCTGAAAGCGCCTCACCGGCGTGCTGTGAGTTTTGATCTGCGGCGTCGAGGCAAGCCCCGTTTCACCGAGAAAGGCCGCCTTTGCCCCTTGGCTTCGCGCTCAAAGCGGCCATCCTGCAGACATGGGGTTCAAACGATTGGCCCTTTCTCTTCCATTTGCTTAAGAATATGTGTCATTTTCCCTTGTTGGTTTTAAAAGGAATCTTATCATTTCTGGAAATCTGTTGTTGTTTTTGTTCTCCAGGGGTGCGTTTAGACATTTGGCCCGTCGAAAGGGGGGCTGGGCATTTCTGGCCATGGCTGAAACCTTTCATATCACACACTCTAGCTTAAGTTTCCTTTGAACGTGTTAGAGAATTTGCCGAAGAATGTGTTTTTTTTTGGCCCCTGTCGGCGTCAAAGGGAACAATTCTCTCACTGCCGGATGGCTGTCTAGATTTTTTTCCAGGGGCGCTGAGCAAATGGATGTTTTTGGCGTCGCTGAAAGATCCAGAAACCAACCGCTGGAGGTTTGGGAACCTTCCGTGGCAGGCATGTGCTGGAGCCGCTGTCGGAGGAGTGAGTTGCCGGCTTGGAGAAAAGCGCGCGCTCGGGGCGTGCATCGTTCACCTTAGACAAACAAAAACACACAAGCAAGCAAACCAGCAAAGAAGCAAGAAAGCAAGCAAGCAAGGAAGCAAGCAAGTACGCAAGCACGCACGCAAGCACGCACGCAAGCAAAGAAGCAATCAAACAAACAACAAACAAACAAAGAAGCAAGCAAGCACGCAAGCAAGCAAGGAAGCAAGGAAACGAAACACACGAAGCAAGGCCAAACAAACAACCAGACAGACAAACAAGGAAACAAGCAAGCCACCAACCAACTAACCAGGCAACCAGACAAACAAGCAAGCAAGCAAGAACGCAAACAATCAATCAAACAACAAACGATCGAAAAAGCAAGCAAACAAACCAACAAGCAATAAAGCAAACAAACAACCAACCAAACAAACAAATGACACAAACGAACGCAAGAACACACCAAACAACCAGACAGTCAAACCAGCAAAAAAGCAAACAAACAAAACAAACAAACAAACAAGCAAGAAAGCAACCAACCAACCAACCAACCCACCCACCCACCCACCTACCCGCCCGCCCGCCTCGCCCGCCCGCACCCACCCACACATCCACCCACCCACCCACCCACCCAACCAACCAACCAGGCAACCAGGCAACCAGGCAGCCAGGCAAACAAACAAGCAAGCAAGCGCACACACACGAACTTAGACGTGGAGATGCCCACGGGCCTCAATTGGTGTCCGGCAGTGACTCATTCGACCTGAACTTCAAACTCCGTCTCTCGCCGCCTCGCAGCCGCGATTTGTACAGTGACAGCCGGCCCCCGCAGAGAGGCCCGCGGCGCCGGCGGAAACCAGTTCGCCAAAAACTTGGTTGCATTTTCAGGAACCCATTCTCAAAACTACTTTTGGGTGGGTGACTTTGAAGATGCCTTTATGGACTCAGATTTTGCCCGAGCCACGTGTTTTGGTTTTGCTCCCGGGTCAGGTTCGGCGCAGTTTGGGGCCCCCCCCCCGCGCCCGAAGGAATCGGAAGTAACCTATCCCTACCGTAGGGCTCTCAACCCGCACCCTTGTGCCTCCAGGATTCCATAACACCCCAAGCCAGGGGTTCCTTGGCGCCCATGTACGCCTGTTGCACACCTGAGCCAAGGGCGCCTTTGTTTAATCATCTCCATGCAACCGCCAAGTTTCCCGCAAATGGGGCATTCCAAAAAATCGATGGTTTCCCCCTTTGGTTTCCCTTTAAACCAAGATGAAAAGAGTGCCTCTCAAAAAGTGTGTGTGCCTGTGCCTGTGCGTGTGCGTGTGCACGTACCTCGCGTGCGCGCGTGGGCGCGTGCGCGCGTGCGCGCGTGGGCGCGTGTGCGCGTGTGCGTGTGCGTGTGTGGGTGGGTGGGTGTGCGTGCGTGCGTGCGTGCGTGCGTGCGTGCGTGCGTGCGTGGGTGGGTGTCTGTCTGTCTGTCTGTCTGTCTGTCTGTCTGTCTGTCTGTCTGTCTGTCTGTCTGTCTGTCTGTCTGTCTGTCTGTCTGTCTGTCTGTCTGTCTGTCTGTCTGTCTGTCTGTCTGTCTGTCTGTCTGTCTGTCTGTCTGTCTGTCTGTCTGTCTGTCTGTCTGTCTGTCTGTCTGTCTGTCTGTGAGTGTGAGTGTGAGTGTGTGTGTGTGTGTGATTGTGTGTGATTGTGTGTGATTGTGTGTGATTGTGTGTGATTGTGTGTGTGTATTTGTGCATTTGTGCATTTGTGCATTTGTGTGTGTGTATTTGTGCATTTGTGCATTTGTGCATTTGTGTGTGTGTATTTGTGTATTTGTGTATTTGTGTATTTCTCTGTGTGTTTGTGTCTCTGTGTGTCGCTGCGTGTGTCTGTGTGTCTCTGTGTGTCTCTGTGTGCCTGTGTCTGTGTCTATGTCTGTGTCTGTGTCGTGTCTGTGTCTGTGTCTGTGTCTGCGGGTGGGTGGCTGGGTGGCTAGGTGGCTGGGTGGCTGGGTGGCTGGGTGGCTGGGTGGCTGGGTGGCTGGGTGGGAGGGTCTCAGACCCTATTTTAATGATTATGTCCCTGAAGTTCTGAAGATTTTGACATACCGTGACATACCCCAACTGCGCTCCATTTTTGCCTGGCAAACAGGTCACCATGCGCTTTAGCCAAGCGCCACGCGGCTCTACCGCCTCCTTCCTGCAGGATGGCAAGGCCACTTGTTGTTCTTGGAGAGCATTTTGAGGGACCTGTTCTGCAAAGTACTTCGTGGGTGTCCCTTGAAACATGCGGTGGGGATTTTGATGGTGTCGGGGAGCACGGAAATTTAGAAGTCTCCGTATGGGCCAAGGGTATCCGATAGCTCACCGGGCCAAACGCCTGGGTGGCTGGAGTTGGGGGTTTATGGAGGTCAAGACGAGCGCTTGCTTGAATTGCTGTAAGCACTTCTTTGCATCAACCCCAGCCAATGCTGCATGTCTGGCCATGGTTGAAGTCAGGTTCGAGAGCCACTTTCTGTGATACCAAGGGATTGCCCTGTCAACTGATAAAGTCGTCATGGGCATGGCCCATGTTGGTATCACAGGAGTTGTGTACCCCGCTCCAAGCTGAAAACCCAAGCGAATGGAGATGCGGGACTTGGGCAGGCAGCAGGCATTGTGCGCCAACCCAAAGGAGAACGGAAGGAGCCACTTCGGCCGCAAGCGGCGCGTGCAGCTTCGCATTGCTTTTGATTGGTCAATGACCCTGGACACGACTTGCCACTTGTGAAAGCCGGATTCGTGCAATGACCAACAAGCATTGGGTTTTTGAAAGTAGCCAAACAAGAAGGGGTGGTTCCCTTTTTGGTTTCCTTTTGCGACAACCCGAAGGGTCCACCAAACATGTATTCCCCCAACTGGAGCCACCATGGGACATATAAGGGGTAGATGTGCCATCATGACCCTCACACGCGGAATCCTGCAGGCTGTCTAATTCCCCAAGCTAGCCAGATCTAGTGCACAAAGCGGTACTTTTCTGCGTATTGGACACGGGGTGTGGTCGTGGGATGTCGTGGGGAAGGGCTCAGAGCATCCCTAACCCCAAGTGAAACGAGGTTTTGATCATGGCGCAAATGGACCTCGCCCCAAAAGCCCCCAGTTTGACAAGCGGGAACAGAATGCATACACTATGGATCAAAATTAAACCACCAGGGGACCGCAGGTTTTAGTCCATGTTTCCATTTACCAGGGTTCCATTTTGGGCTCGTATTTTTGACCCACAGCCATATGGCGATGCTTGCTGCGATGCTGGTGCTGCTTTGCTCTCAAGATCTCTCAAGTAAGAGACAGGTCGGCAGCTCGGCAGCTGAGTGAAGGCGTAGACCTCGGCTTTTGCCTAGGCCTCTGACGAATTTGAAGCCCGCCTCGCGTGCGGAATATGTCGGGGGGCTCAGCTGGGACGACCTCAGCACTAAGTTGGGTGGAATTTGTTCAGGGTTGTGGGATTGAAGAGTTTATCCCCACTTCTGTATCAGCCTGTTTTTTGGTCTATCGTCCATTTGGCAGGGACGAGAAGGGGGCACGAGCTGTGGATTTCGCCAATGTTCTCGCTCGTTTGCGAACAAGTAGTTTTGTCCGTGGCTCACTGCAGGTGCTTTTTCAGGTTGGTTTAAAAGCGAAAGAAAAGGGCACTCACCATTCTAGAGGGTCCCCCAGGGTATCCCAGTGGGGTATGACCCCAATGTAGTCAGGTGTTCTTGCCCGCACCAGCCACTGTGTGACAATTGAATCCACAGTGGTTGGTTTAGCGGCGGTTTAGGGGTTAGGGTTGGTTTAAGGTTTGTGTCCGCTTGTGTTTTGGGAGGCACGTCAGCGACTTGACAGCCCTTGATGGGACATTTGCTTGGACGAAGAAGCCCCTCCTCAAGTTTCGTAGGAGATGTGACCGTAGGCTCAAACCAGCCGGACACTGAAGCTCTTGCATGGTTCCCAGGTCACTTGAGTTGTTGTTTTCTTGAAAGTGCCAATGGCGGAGCGTTGGCTTCTGGTTGGCCTGCCGGAAAAGTTCATTGTGTGGGCGCACGAGAGCAGCACGACACATAGTGGCTCCTTCGGCTTGCCGGGGTTTGGCCGGGTCTTTGCAGCTCTCAGATTTGGGCAGGCTTTGTTTAAACCAACGAACCACGGCTTTCTTTCAAGGGAAGCCAAAGCGGCAGTATGCGTCCATTTTGAGGACCCCCAAAATGGTGGGTTTCCTTTTGCTTTCCTTCTAAACCAAGCTGAAAAAGGGTTCCCTCAACAAACAGCCGAAATACCCCGAAACGACCGCCGAAACGACGACGCGGTTTCTGAACACCTTGGAGCCCGCGCAGGAGAGGTCTTTGAAGGTCTTCAAATGCACTGCCGATGTTCGGAGCCCCGGAGCGACCTTTGGAAAACAAATGGGTATGGATCAAAGTTAAACCGCAGGACCGCTTTTTTTTTAAGTCCATGCTTCCATTTTCTCAGAGTTCCATTTTGGGTACCTTTTTTTAACAGCCAAATGGAGAAAGCTTTAAAAGCAAACCCAGTTCTATCCCAAGACGCCGGGGGGTTAATCCAACTCTTCAAAGGCCGCCAAGCCCTTTTTGTTCATGCCCTTTGCTTAAGTTCCCCTTTGGAAAGGAAGCAGCTGTCAGGAGAATCCTTGCCATGCTCAACTAATATTGCAATGGCCCCCCCCAAAGAAAACCAACAAAACACATCATTTTAGGGGGGGGGGGGGTTAAGAACTCGGTTTGACATATAGTGAGGTCGACCCAAAACGGAGAAGACCTAGGGGGCCCCTCCCTATTAGCTAGGTCCCCCAGTAGTGCCCTTTTACCCTTTTTTGGTTGGGAGTTGGGAGGGTTCCCCTACTAAAATAGATTACAGACAAAAGGGTACCCTTATTCTAACCTCTCTACTGGAGGACCTAGATGAAGTTTATTCATCCGGGGTCAACTTACGGAATTCATAAGGGCCAGCTCGAGGCCTCCTGCCCAGCATTCCCTAAGCAGCCGAGTAGTGGCCTTCCGCTAACATGGAACCTGACGTTCAGGGGGTCCCTGGAAGGCATTCTTTCTCTAAAAGGGAGCCTCTGGTGGGTCCATGTTAGTGGACAGAAGGGGAACAGTCAGATCGCATACCCCACCAATACATACAAATCGCACCCCTTGCGAGATTTCTCGGGAAATGGGTTGGCCACATTTTTATTTCCATGTGCTACCCTCCTACCAAATAAGGGGTCCTGGAAGACATTTGTCCTTTTTAAGGGGACCATTTCCCGAAGGTCAGGTTCCATGTTAATTGCTGGGGGGGGGGAGGGGGTAGCTGATTCATAGATTGTTACTGACCAATTCGGCGGGGGGGGGGGGTAGCTGATTCATAGATTGTTCCTGCCCAATTCTCCAGCCACTTGGCTTTTTGGGAATTTCGAGGTAGACGCGGGCAATGGGCGCAAGCTGCGACGGCCACAGCAGCCCTTGGCCCGGGGACCAAGGGGCCAAAGGGAGCGGAGGGGACACAACGAGCTGACCGGAAGAACGAGCTCAAAGGTGCCTTACTTGGAAGCATAGGTGTCCTTTTTGGTTGGTTTGCTTAGAAAATAGAGGGGTTCCGCTGGTTTAGATGGGGTTTACTCCATATACCAGGCCCATCTATTTTTTTCCCAAAGGCCTCCTATGCTTGGAAGTTCCTGAATTCCAGCTGGTGATTTGTCGTGTTTCGCCCAAGCTGAAACATGAGCGGAATGTCGCTTGGGTTTGCTCCAGGCTTATGCTACCCACATGGGTACTTCCCAACTGTACACGCAAACTCACATGGAATAACCTCTAGAGAATTTGTGCTTTTGGGGGTTCCATGTGAAAATATGTTAAGTCCGCGGGTTGTCAAGGTGCACATTGACTTCATTCCACCATGCTTTTGGCATGTGCTCCCTTTGCCGCTGATAGATCATTTTTTGCCAGCTCGTGACAGAATCCGAGTCAAGCCGGCTCAAGTGTGAACGTGGGCCCCTCAACGCGGTTATACATTCTGATACTTTGGGGATCCGAGGGTTTCCCTCGAAGCCACCATCTTTACTCTACTGCTATTGGGTTGGATCTTTAGACTTGAACTTTTTGGGTTCCCCTCATATTTCCTTTTAACCAGCAAGAAGTTAGTCACTTTTTGCTGGGGGATCTGCAGCACTCATCTCTACAGGTTTTGACGGTGGCTCAGGACAAGACGCTCATCGGTGCTCCCACGGGAAGTGTCCAGTCAACCACCTTCGGCCTTCCAGAGAGGCGATGCTTGCCGCGGGAACGGGGGCGGTCCAGTGGTCAGAAGCGGGGTGCTGCTGTTATCTGGAAATCGCTTGGAATGTGGCGGATCTGTGGTTCCACCCCTGTAGAAGTTTAAAAGAGTACTAAAAGATTACCAAAAAAGGGCCAACAGGGGGAAGAACAGGTGAAATCCACAAAAGGCGCATCCGAAACGGTTTTTAGATGTTAGGCTTGCGGAACCGCACATATTAAGAAGCCGCACCCCCCCCCCCTTTACCCCCCCCCTGCTTTGGGCCAAACAGGTGGGAAGCTTCCCGAAAGGTTTGGGGAAGCTTCCGGAAGCCTTGCGGAAGCTTCCGGAAGCCTTAGGGAAGCTTCGGGAAAAGGGGGGGAGATTGAAACAAGGGTGGTCCCCCCCTCCCCCCCCCTTTTTCCCGAAGCTTCCGGAAGCTTCCCCAAGGCTTCCGGAAGCTTCCGCAAGGCTTCCGGAAGCTTCCGGAAGCCTTGCGGAAAACTTACGGACTTCTGAAGCTTCGGGGGAGCGGACGGGAAGGGCAGGGGACGGGGAAGGAAGGGGTGCGAGGGGGACGAGCATGAGCGTAGTGGTGGGTGTCATTTTCCAGCCGCCAGTCAGTGGGGAACCCTTTGGGAGCCAAATGCTTTAACAGTGTTATAACACTCCAATAGCAGTGCTATAGCATGTCTCAAGGGGGGGGGGGTAAGGGAGGGGGGGGTTTATGCTTTCTTAAACATAGGTTGAGAAAGCCGTTCAGCGCAGCCCCGAAGCTGAAGAGTTCTGACGAGCAGGGGAACCTTGCTCGGTTTCCAAAGATTATCAACAGGAGACCAATAGGCTTCTACACCGTACAGAATGATCCATGCGCCCGCCCCTTGGCCTGCCCCCTATCCCCCTATCCAGCATCCCTGCCAAACAAGTATGTAACACGCATTTTGCAAGTCTCTGGCTGACTTTAAGGCCAAATGGTGACGAGTTAAGCCCAGAAAGCCAAACTTGAGTAGACTGGAGGGCAGTGGGGGGATGTTCCCAAACTACAAATCGATGCGGGCCGTCTTCGCCTCCACGGCCGCCACCTTATCATCATCATCATCATCATCATCATCATCATCATCATCATCATCATCATCATCATCATCATCATCAACTTTGCTACCATTGCCATTACCAAAAGCATCGTCAACAAAATTTTCCATTTGTAGATTTGAGGTGTGCAAGGCGCACACTTTGCAGGTGGAGCCTGGGCATCATGATTGATTGCCCAGTGTCAGCGGCCAGTCAAGGAACGGTCCAATGGTCCAATCCTACTTTGGATGGGCGAAATCCGTTCGCACCACTTTGACTCCATGGTTGACACCAAAACGTTTGTTGGCATTTGCAAGAATCGAATCGTTCCAGGGTTTAGGTGGTGAAATCGAGATGCGGATTTCGCCTCCATCCACAGTAAATGACAAGCTTTCGGCGCTGTAGACACATGCTGACACATCACACATCAACCCTTCGATGTTCTGATTGAGGCCTGTGATACTTTTTACCAAGCAAACAGAAGAATTGTCATTCTTATTCGGTTTGCTGAGTACAGGAGTCCTTTGGAGTTGTCCAAACAGCTCCAAGAGGGGCCCTTTTCGAGCTTAGACCTGAATGGGTGCTAAAATCGTCCTTTCGGCTGCTCGGATTTCTGTATCAAAGCCAGCATGCTGTAACACCAACCGCAAAAAGCGGCTACTTTTCGCTGTAGCTTGTTTCTTTCTTCTGACTACTTGGTTTTTTCAAAGCAACTGGAGTGACTTCCCTTCAAAACCCAGCTTTTCGGGGCTGAGTCCTCTGCGGCTTCTTCGGCACGCGGCCATCTCCGGCTTTCAGAGGCGGCTGCGGGGAATGACGAAGCACAGCGCGGAGCTTGGAGTTGACCTCGATCCGCGGCCAGTGGCGAAGGCCGTTGCACCCGAAGAAAAAAAAGAGAGAACAAAAACAAAACAAAAAAACGCCGTGGTTGAACGGTGAGGTGAATTTTCCGGACAAATTTGCTTTCCATGTCCGTGAAGTCGTGATTCGGGAGTTTATTTTTTTGGTTTGCAGGACAGACATTTGCTGGGCTCTAGCTGTTTCAAGCGTGCAGGCAGAATAATTCACTAGCATCTCTTGCTGACAGCTGATTTGTTGTGTGTGTTTTTGAGAAACAACAGTATAAACACACACACACACACACTGCGTTTAATCGGGTGTGCCCTCTGCTTTTAAAAGGGGATTGTGAGACCGTTCAGCAAGCGGCTCGAGGCTTTGAGGAGTAAAAGTCATGCCTGCCACTGTGAAACGTGTTAGTCTGTTGGGGGTGCCAATGGTCGGCAACTTTTTGATTTCTTTGGGCATCTCATTCCGAGACATCGCAGAGAAAGTGCCGTGGGATGGTTGTAATCATACATTTCTTGGTGGCTCCCAGCCATCCGGTTCCTTAGCTTTTAGCCTTTTCGTGTTTAGTGGTGGTTTCCATTTAACCCACTAAAAGTTAGCCACTTTTAGCGGGGGATCTGAGGGCAGCCCAGATTTGAAGACCCTTTTTGTTGGTTGGCCTCCAAATAGGGCAAGCCCTCCATGGGTTTCTCCTCAGATTCCTCACCAAAACGGATACCGGAAAGGCACCCGTTTGGAAGGTGTCGCCGTTCTGTTACATGGCCTTCGCCAGAGAAACCATTTGTGTCTAAGGATAGGCGACCCTTGGCGTTTGAAGGGAACCCGAAAGGGAGCCAACCAGTTCGGATAGGCGTCCTTTTGCTTGTTTTGGTAGAAAGTAGATGGCCCTGGTTGACCTGGTGGTTGAATCTTCCAGGACCATCCATGTTCACCAAAATGGACGCCTATCGTTCGGAGTCCTCTTGGGACACACCGATTTGGACGGCGCAAGTCTCAGGTTGTACGGAGGAGAGCAACGAGGAGGGGCCATGGGATCACGGAGATAGCGAGATGTTCACAGCGAAACCAAAGGCGACGAAGCGTTTGCAGGGATCCCTACAAGAAAGAAGCCAATTCCATTGGGTATGTGTCCAAAAGGGTGGGTTGTTTCTTGTTATTTTCCCTTTGACTCCAGGGTTTCCACAAAAATGTACATACCCCAAATGGAGCCACAATCAAAACCCGGGTAAGTGAAGGTTAGTAAGGGACATTGTCCCTTGCCATAAATAGCTGCGGATATCCGCCTTCTTAATTATTGATGGTTCGGGGCTTTCACAAAAATTCCCAAAATGGAGCCACAACATGTTGGTGCCAAGTTGAGGACTTGATGAGTCGCAGAGAGTTCTTTGACCACTGTGCAGAGCTGAGAAGGGGAAAAAGAGGGCCTGACCGGAGTGAGGGAGGGTCCAGAAGTCAGGCTTAACAAGGGTAGATTCTCGAACATATTTTTCAATTCAAGCAACACTCTGAGCATGGGCAATAGAAGCATGCGCTGACGCGCAGTATCGTTACGGCCACTTCCGCCCGAGCCTTGCCGGAAAAGTATTGCAAAGCGCAGGGAGGGGCTGCATGCTCTTTTTTTGAGCAACGGGTGGGCTCTCAAATTGTTTGGGACCCACAAGATTGGTGGCAATCAAAATGGGTTCCTTGAAAAGGCCCAGCTTGGTTCCAGCCCAAGGCACGCGGGCAGACGACTACGCGGATCTTCTTGGCCGACCCATGCTTTCGCCGCGAGCTCGTTCGAGCAGGGGCAGGGCTCCGAGCCTGAAGATGATGTCCCCTTTCGTGGTTGGTTTCAAGGGAACCTTTTTGGGCGAACCACGATTTTTGCTATCTTCCCCCCACACCTGACCTGTCAGCTTCCATGATTATCTTGAAATTGGGAACTGCGCGCTCTGGCTTTCAATTGTCTACCCTTGACCAGGTTCTCGAGCACCCCTCACCCTCGGGTGTCAGGAGTCGGGCATTGTCCTTTACCGATGTGGGATTGATGCTCATCGCGGAATTGGGCGCCAGGCCAAAGTTTTTGAAACCTGATTGGAGTCCCACCGTCGGCAGCGGCCCAACTTTTGAGGCGGCAAGCTCATGGTGTCATGCTGTAGAGTCGGTTCCACAATACTAGCACTAAAACAAGCTTCATTTGAGCCACAATCAAAACCCGGGTAGAATCCCAACCATAAATAGCTGCGGCCGCCTTCTTAATTAACTCTCTGGGTCGACCATGTTAATACCGGGTTTTGATAGTGACTCATTTCCGGTTCGAAGCAAACCGGCTTGCCATATGTTTGAGCCGCCGACGCTCAGGCCTCGCAAGAAGGAGTGCAGCATCCTTGAGGGGCCTTGGTCTCAGCCATGCGGGCCCAAAAATGGAGGGGTGGTTTTTTCAGGGCTCCTTAAAAGATACATGTTGCCCGTTTGAAACATGGCTTTTTCCACTAAAATAAAGGGAAACCACCGTATACAAGGCAATGTTCAGGTGTATAATGCAAGGACTGATGTGGGCAACTTGGGATTGGACACGACTCGCGTTGCCTGACTTTGCAAACCTGTGCCATTTTGCCCTTCGGGGTTTGCTGCATTTTCCGGTTTGGCCAGCAAAAGAGTCGGAGCTTGTTGCAGGTCGGACTTGTTTAGTGTCGTGCCCAGAGGGTCATGTGTGCTTGAAACCCGAAGAATGTCCTTGGCAATCAAGTAAAGACACATAGGACCAGCACGTGATCCACGACTGCACTCTGAATTCTTTACAGGTGTTTGGGTAGACCACTTGGGTGCCAGGTGGTGATAACGACTTGTGTGGTGTCGCAACTTGTCAAATTACAGGCCACCTCCCCAAGCTCTCAATCAATGCGTGGGGAGAAAATTGGTCGTAGCTCTGGCGAGCCCATCGGCAACTTTTTGCATGGGGGCTGTGTGACAAGTCGGACACACGAGAGTGATGATGGATGTGAGCAGACACACTCCTTAGCTTGCTTCTGTTTTTTGGAGGGCCTTTTTTTGGGGGCGGTTCTAAAGGGACATCTACAGGAATGCGACTTGTTGTTCTTCTCTTTTTCTTCTTGTGTTTGTTTTGGCGGGGGGAGGATGGAGGGGACGGGTTCCCCTCTTTTAACACACCCGTCATTTTATGGGGGAGTCAAGGAGCTCGCCAGCTCATAGGTGCAAATTCGGTTGAGCGTTTCTTGGCCACACCGTGTCACTGGACCATTTGAGAACTCTCAAAGGGTCTCGTTGGAACATCTGCCAAAACACCCGAAATACGCTGTTTTCCTGTAAAAAAATCCTGCAACCCAACCCTTGGAGTTAGCCGGACAAACATGGGCCAGAGTTTAACTCCCTTGAGCTCGTACCTCTGGGTCTTGGCAATAGTTTCGTCTTAAGGGAGCGGGCGGAAGAGTCCGACCTCGGGGGATGAAAGGCGACTTGACATGGAACCAAGAGTGGGCCCCCAGCGCAAACCACGCGGCATGAGGCATGTGCTTGAGCTTTCATGGTATCTGCTCATGTGGGCTCACTGGGCTAACCACAACTGCCTAATAGGGGTACTCGACTTTTTTTGAACACGTTTTGGTTGGTTTCAAAGGGAAAGCAAATGGAAACCGCAAAATTCAATTGCTCCCCTATCTTGAGATGATAAACCCATATGTGTTGTGCTTTCGGTGTCCCTTGTGGTTGGTTTTTGTGGTCCTGGCACGGGTTTCGGGCCGTCATGGTTTGATGGGGGGTGATTTGCTTGTGCATTCTGAGGGCGTACTACTTGGCGGAGGAGAAGGATGGTGCCGGCCCCATTGATTGATTTGTGAGATTCTCGTGCATGTGGAGCAGGTCAGTACTCCCCTTGAAACCAACACAAACTCAAAAACGAAAAGTGGGCCCAAAGGAGATTTTAAAGGGAGTGGATGTTGAGGTTCCGGATAAATCTGCAGAGTATGTACCCTCTTTCTCACATTCATGGAAGTAAGGAGGGCTTTGGGAGACTTCCATCTTGGCAACGCCCCTGGTCTACTTGTCCCACTTCCATTTTGAAAAGAAGGCCAGTGATTGTACGGGAGGGTGAAATGTCGGTTGGCATGCCTTCAAGTGCTGTGAGCTTCAATTTGTTGATTGGTTGTGTGTCTCGAATTCGGATCGATTGTTCAGCCGTGTCTTGTCCTGCTCCACCCAAAGGATGTCGAGAAATCGCCAAAAAGAGAGGCACCAGGCACATGTCTAAATGCCTAAATGCCCGGGTTGCTGCATTTTTACTGCCGTGAGTTATCCCAAGAAGGAAACACCGGTTGGTGTCAAACTAGAAAAACACACCCTCCACTAACTTGGTGGCTCCCAGCCATCCCCTTAGCTTTTTAGCCTTTTAGTGTTTAGCGGTAGTTTCCATTTAACCCACTAGAAGTTAGTCACCTTTAGCGGGGGATCAGAAATCGGGCAGCCCAGCACTAAACCACACCAGAACACAGCCTGTCTAGACTTGGGATACATTTTACATTTTACCAGTGACTCAAAGTGAAGCAAACAATAAAATATACAGTCTATAACTGGGCCTAACTCTAATCATGACAGACCCTCCAATGGATGGTTTACTTTGGTTTCCCTGTGAAAAACACAAAAAAACACAGACTGTCAAAACAGACAGACACACCCTCCACTAAACCACACCAACAAAACCCAGACCCAGGGAGAAGCCGGCAGCAAACCCCCGCCCCTAGGCGACTTCGAGGATCTGAGTACTGCTGCGTCCGACGACTGTGAAACAAGGCGCGGGAACCTGTGAGCCATTGACAAGAACCAAACAGGGCAGGTCTTTGGCGCGACCCTTGCCCATGGCTGTTGTTGGGAAACATTTTACATGTTTGCTTATTGCGGTATTTCTGGGAAATCCCCACTTAACTGCTAAAATTTGATTTTTTGATCCCCTTCCAACGTCAGCCAAGAGCTCCCTTGGCCTTTTGAAAGCAATTATTGGTGGTTCCATTAAACCTACGAAGGGTTGGAGCATGATTGGTGCTCTACTGTTGGTTTGGGGTGGGGAACAACGAATATTGTCCGTGTGTCATGTGGATTGGGTATGAGCCCGTTTTGGGTCCATCGCAGTCAAAACGGGACCCCAACGACGGCCTTTCACTTGGTGTCCCTTTAAAACGGCCTGAAAAGGGCGCCGAGCCTCAACAAAAACACAGCTCCAACTTGAACGCCGGTTTCACAGCTCATTTCGGCGAGAAGCCTGTGGGTCCCAGGAATCCAGCGGTTTCGTTTTGGGTTTCCAAGACTGGTTTGAACATTCGTCGTCCAGTGGCAGCCTGAAAGGTCAGCCGTTCTTTCAGCACGGACACCTAGCGATTGGTTCCACCCGCTTCAAGTGAGTTGCACCAGTCTAGGGGTTGATTCCTTTTCCATTCTTTTCAACCCTCCTTGTTTTCAAAAGCCGATCGCTGTTTCCCCTGGAGTTCGGATGGTTTCCTGAAAGGAAAGATCCCTGGAAAGTATGGGGAAGTGTCCCCTAGAACAAGGGGTTCCGCCACAGGGCCCACCTTTTTCTTGTTGTTCCCCACCCAGCAGGTTGGGGGTTGTTAGAGATTTTCGGATGGCATCCGACTGCCACGACCTAGCTTGAAGCCTGAGGCTGCTGCCAAGTCCAGGACAGATGTGACGGATTGTGCAAAGTAAAGTTTTTTTTTGTTGGGAGGGAGAGGGTTGTTCTCTTTCAAGGCCACCCACCAAGCATGTCACGACCAAAACACTTCCAGGGATAGACATCACCCCCTTGACCGTGGTACATACACCCCTCCTTTTGGATGTGTTTGGGTTCTTGAATTGAACGCGGAAGAGTATTTGCCTCTCCGGTTTTCCCTTATCGAGTGGCGAAGCTGAGTTCTCCATTCGACTCCGCCAGGCACAGTTCTGTGCCTTCGCGTGGTTCTCAGTGGGAGACTGCGCTCTATGTCGTCAAAATGGCCGGGCTTAGTCGGGCTGGACGCATGCCATAGGGTGGGTGGGTGGGTGGGTGGGTGGGTGGTGTGAAGTCCTCCGGGAAGTTTTTGTTTAGGAAGTTTTTGGTTGGGGGGGTGGCGGCTATGAGCCACGCAGTTTTAGCATGGAGAAGAAATCCCAATGCAAAACCATGTCCACAGAGTCACCATTTGTTCAATCCACAATCCAAGTTTCACGCATCCGAATTTGTTCCGAAATCCGTCCGGTCGCGTCGCCGGGTCGCCCAGTTTCTCTCAGGTTGCGAGTGCGGCGAGTGCTGCAGAGTCTGATGCCCGAGCCCGAGCCCGGTCTTCGGGTGCTCGAAATGTGAAGAACCCAAGGGAAACCAAACCAGAGGAAAAAAACAAACACACCCATTGTCTTGATTGCTATTGGTTTGGATCTTTAGACTAACTTTTTGCTTGAAATCAAGTTGGGTTTTCCACTTTTTCCCACAAAAAGTTAAAAACGTTTTTTGCAGAGGGGTCAACAGCAGCAACGAAGTTGTGGTCAAGACTCCCTGGGTCCCATGTTCCTGGGGACCTATTTGGTCCACAAGAGAGGGCTAAGGGCTTCCCGATGTCCAGTTTGGACATGCCGTAGTAATTTGCTCAGAAGGGATGGAGCCCCGGATCTATTGGTGGGTCTAGTATCAGGTTCCCGAAGAGTGCGGGATGCCAAAAGGGGACCATTTCAAGGTCCCCCAGCAATTGGTGCCCTTTTGCCGTTTCTTTTGGGGGAGGGTTCCCCTACTAAAATAGACTACAGAACAAGTTGGTACCCTTATTCTAAGCTCTCTACTGGAGGACCTAGGTTGCGTTCCGTACGCTTCACCGCGCGAGGCCTGCGAAGGGAGGGCCCGACATTCCTTTGGAGGCGCAGAGACGCGGGGGTTGGATGCGGCAGAGTGGTCACTTGCGGCACAGGTCTTTCAAGATCCCAAGCCCGTTGTCGGACCTCCGTTTTATGCCTTTGGATTTTGGGGCCCCACAAGCAGGTTGGGGGGCTGAAGCCGAGCCCAATCCATGTGTGTCGCGAGCTCCTCAAGAAAGAAACCAGGGCGGTTTAGACACTCTTATAAGTTTCTTGCCCGTAAGAACCTGCCGCTTTCTTTTTTTCTGCCGGGTTACCTGCGTATTCCAGCCAGCTTTGCCCCACATGGTTTCTCAAAACTGATCACCCAGCGCTCCCTAAGCCGGATTTCTGTTCCCCAAAGGTTCATCCCCCCCATCCAAATTAACTTCCAAGGAGTGATTTTCCCTGAGAGGTCTCCATCGCAATGTTGACTCCATATCAATCCACCCCAGTTTATCAATAGGGGGTGTCCCTGGTTTTGTTGGGGAATCATCACTATTGGGGGAGAACACCCCCCTATCGATAGACTGGCGTTGATTAATACAGTGGATCGACCAAATCCTGCCACCTAAGAAAGCCTCGAATGATGATTGGCCTGTAAATACAAAGAATGGTTTTAACCATGGTTCCTTAGGTGGTGCGAACGGATTTCGTCCACCCACAGTATGGGGTCAACATGAACCAACTTTCAGTGGGTCAATCACTTTTTGCGGGGGAACACCCCCGATTTTATTAAACTGGGGTTGCTTTTTCATCATATGAAAAACCAACCCCAGTTTATTAATATGGGGGTGTTCCCCAGCATTGATATGGGGTCAACATGAACCAAGTGGGGTGGGTTAAAGCATCTCAAAGCCTCAGATGGTGGCCCGCTTGGAGCATTTGGTGGAGCTTGCGGACCGGGTCGAGACCAAGAAGCGGCCACTCGACGGGCGACGGCTCGGTCTGGAGACGGTTAATTTTTTGGGAGTCGTTTTGGGTCACTGGAGATGGCGACGCGAAATGGCTGTGGCTCAAAAAACAACGGTAAACCGGTACCAGAATGGAACCCTGGTAAGTGGAAACATGGACCACACCTGCGTAACCCCTCCTGGTTAATTTTGAGTCACCCCCAAATTGTCATGATATGTATAGTCATAATTGCCCAATGCGCTGATTGCACTCCGTGTGGTTTTGGCTCAAGAAAAGGGTGCGCTCCGCAGTGCACCCCAGAGCCGAGATATTGCATTTTGATGGTAGCGGGTGAGCCTCGACGGTCCATTTGGTTTGGAAAGCCGTACGAGGGGCCCAAGGGCAAGAACAAGGGCAAGAAGGGCAAGAACAAGGGCAAGAAGGGCAAGAGCAAGGGCAAGAAGGGCAGGGGCAAGAGCAACAAGGAGGAGCCGCCGTGGAGGCGGCCCGCTCGCGGCAAAGGCAAAGCCGCAGAGCCGGTCGAGGAGACCGGGGCAGCGGAAGAGCTGCCGAAGGAGAGGCCGGAGCTAGTTGGCCCTCCGAGTGAAGGAGAAGAAGACACCCTGTCCGCTGAGCCTGCCGCTGAGTCAGAAGCAGACTGGGGAGGATCCCAGGCTGCATCTCCTCCCTCCTCAGAGCCAGAGGCTCTGCCAAGTGGCCACAGGGGCCCAGAACCGGCTCGAGGAAGCCGGGCAGAGGAGAAGGAGGAGGAGCTGGAACAATACACCAACGAGGACAAGAAGGAGGACCTCCACCCGCCGCAGAAGAAGCAGTTTGAGCCCGAGGCCACGGACTTCGACCTGGAGCTCACACGCCTAGGTCGTCAGGATCTCGGTGGTGGCAGAGTGCGACTGGCAAAGACAAGAGGAGAAGCCAAAACAGTCGGCACTTTAGGATCCTCAAAGGCCTCCTGAAGCTCGCGCAGAAGAAGCAGGAAGAGCCATCCGCGGAGCTCCAGGAGGAGATCGAGAACTTCGGGCAGGCGCCCTGGAAGAGGCGCCGGGTGCAGCCCAAGACACCACCGAAGTCCCCGCCTAAGTCCAGCCCTGCTCCGAAGACACCGCCGAAGGGATTCACAAAGGCCCAAGGAAAGGAGCCTTCACCGGGCGCTGAGCCCGAGCTGCTGGCACCGGTCGCCGAGGCAGCCAAAGCTCTCGGCCGACGGGTTACGGTGCACAGGAACATCCAAGAGCTTGCGGTGGCAAGGACGTCCCGCGGTGAAGGGACGAGCGAGCAGAACCTGGCCTCGAACTACCGCCTCAGGAAGGCGGCATTGGCAGAAGCTGCACACCGAGCCGGAGCAAAGGGCTCGGTGGCCAGAGCCATCCAGCAGAGTGTGCTGCAACTGGACGGGTTGGGGAACCCGTGTTCCTCGTGCGACGAGAGGACTCGCCTTCAGAGGCCATCGTTGTTGGCCAGGGCCGCAGCAATTGCAAAAGGGGCGACAAGGAGGCGCGCACCGGTAGGAACGACCTCAAAGTCAGTACCGGAAGCTATCGCGAAGCCTCATCAGGTGAAGCCACCTCCTGCAAAAGCGGCTATAGAGGCGAAGGTACCACCTCCATCGCCAAGACCGAAGTGGGTGCTCAAGGAGAAGGCCCACATCGAGAAGCCCAAGAGCGAGCCGAAGGTTTCGCTGGCTCGGCCGAAGCGGCCGCCACCTCCGCCACCGACTCCGTCGCCGGCTACACCCCTGAGCGAGACCGAGGGCAGTGTTCACCTTCACGATCAACCGGCGCCGGAGCCGAGCTCGGGGTCGTACTATAGTACAGAAGAGTCCGGGAAGGCGGACTGACCTCCCGGTGCTTGGCACCGGATATAAGGCATGGAGGAAACAGTACGAGAGTTGCAGCAGGCAGTTGAGCGGTTGTCACAGGAGAACCAACTTCTTAGGCAAGGCCAGGCAGGTATAGCTGCTTTGGCAGAGAACCTTGGTAGGTTAGCTACAAGCCTGCAGAGAGGAGATAGGAAGTTGTTGATAGACACCAAAGGGATTGGAAGACCGGAAGTCTTTTCCAATGATGACGGCCACTTCCGTAGATGGGCCCGGTCTGTGGTGAACCTCACAACGGCAATCTTTGGATCCAGTTTCCAGTCAATCCTTGAATGGGTAGTTGATCAGGATGAGGAGATCACTGTTGAAAAGGTAGAAGAGGAACATGGAGGCGAACTGGGAATGGCCGGACTGGATGATAAGGGAGACCAACTGTTCAGGTTGTTGTCATCCCTTACTACTCATGAGTCCGAAGACCTGGTCATCAATGCCAAGAGCGGGTATGAGGCATGGCGAAGGCTTAACAGGAGATGGGACCCTCTCACAGCAGGTAGGAAGAGGAACATCCTAAGGGCCATCCTCAACCCTGAAAGAGTTAAGTCTTGGGAAGCAGTTCGACCAGCCATGGAACAACTAGATGATTTGATGCGCCGATATGAGGCCAGAAGGAACGAAAGGGGCGAGAGGGAAATCCTCTCTCAGGACATAAAGTGTACGTCCCTAGAACTTCTGGTTCCAACCGACATTGAGCGCCACCTCATTCTGAACAAGAACCGGCTGGGAACCTACGAGGAAATGAAGCAGGAGATTGAGGTTCTGATTGAAACAGTCACGGGAGCAAAAGGGAAGGTCCATCGACCGGGGTCCAGTGGGGCTTCGGGATCGGGGCAAGGCCCCGCCCCGATGGACGTGGACGCCTTCACGAAGGTGCTCAACTCGCTGGTCAAAGGCTCGAAAGGTCAGAAAGGAGACAAAGGTAAGGGAAAGGACAGAGGTGGAGGCAAAGGCAAAGGCAAAGGAAAAGGTAAGGACAGCAAGGGAAAAGGCAAAGGCAGTGGTTCAGGCAGCTCAGGACCCGCAGGAGCATGCTTCAACTGTGGTAAGACCGGCCATAGAGCGGCCGAGTGTTGGAGCAAGAAGAAGGATGGAAAAGGTTCCAAAGGCTCAGGGAAGTCTGGCTCCAAACAGAAGCATGTGGCAGGATTCGAGGACGCCGACTACGAAGCTGGAGACCAAGAAGAACAACCGGAGGCCGAAGTGGGAATGTTTGAGCTGGGTGCATTCACCCAGGGAGAGTCCCCGAAAGACCCAAGCTGGGTTCGGTTCAACCTTGATACGGGGGCTGCTCAGACTGCCATTCCAGTGGATTGGAAAGACCGCATCCCCACTAAGGAAGGAGCCCAGATGATGTTCAAGACAGCATCGGGGGAACTGGTCCCTGGGACCGGAACCGGGACGTTTCAAGGTAAGAGTGAAACAGGTTCCAGGTGTAAAGTCACAGGGCCATTAGCACCGGTACACAAACCGTTGGTTTCAGCTTACAAATGCCTCAACCATGGAAGGATGGCTGTTCTTGATCAAAATGGTGGACAGTTGATTCCAGCAGACTCAGCGACAGGAAGGAAAATTCAGCAGTTGCTCAACAAGCCCAGTAAAGCCCAAAAGAAGACTTGGTTGCCCATATACCAAGAGAAAGGAGTTTACAACTTCTATTTGAAGTCGGAAGATTGTTCGGGTTTTGGACGGCAGTCCAGCGAGGCGTAAGTCCGGCCAAACCACTTGCAGCGGCAGATGATGCCGTGGGTGCCGGACAAGGGAACCCAGAGGCACCAGCGGGCCGACCCGCAGGTGTGCCCGAGGGTGATGAGATGGATGAGAGCGGCGAGATCGCGCCGCCCGCACTGGTGAGAGCACCAGGAGGCCCATCGAGGGCCGAGGTTGCGGAGCATGAGGCAACAGGTCACGTGCAGTATCGCAACTGGTGTCGGCATTGTCTTGCCGGCAGAGGATTGGGTCAGCAGCATCGCTCACGACCCGAAGAGGACAAGGCGAGCGATGAGCTCGCGACAATCTCGTGCGACTACACATGGATGACGCGAGATGGAAAGGAGGATGGGAAGACTAAGCCTATCCTGGTGATCCGAGACAGTCGGACACTGGCCGTTGCGGCCACCTTCGTGGACGCAAAAGGACCGACGCCATATGCGGTCAAATTCATGGCGAACTTTATAAAGCATCTTGGTTACCGTCGTGCAGTCTTCAAGAGTGATGGTGAGCATTCGATCGTTGCCCTGAAGGAGCAGGCGGCCAAGGAAGCAGGAGTGGAGAATGTTCCACAGGAGTCGCCGGTGGCTGACCACCGGGCGAATGGCGCAATCGAGAACTTGTGCCGAGAACTCAAAAGGCAGGTGAGAGTCCTGCGATCCTCACTGGAGGAGAAGTTGGGTCGAGTCTTGAAGGATGACGACCCTGTGCTGTCTTGGTTTCCAAGGCATGCAGCAGACCTGATGTGCAGGTACAAGAGAGGTTCCGACGGGAAGACACCGGAACAAAGGAGGTGTGGCCGAGAATGGAGAAAGCCGGCAATCGCCATAGGAGAGCGGTTGTATTACCGTGAGGTAGGAGAAGGAGCTAGGCCACTCAAGGAAGGCAGGTACATAGGTCACCACGGAAGGACTGGCACTTTGCTGGTTGTGACCTCAGAAGGAGTGAAGAGAGGCACTGGTGTTCGTCGACTTCCAGAAGAAGATCAATGGAATCCACAAGGATGGGAAAGCCTTAAAGGCTACCCGTGGGAGGTCTCAGTGCGAGCGCCGGGAACGCCGGGGCAGAGGGCCCCGGGAACTCCTGCTCAAGGAGTGGAGGACCTGCTGGTCAGTGAAGACCGGGTTGAGGTTCCGCCTCAGGTTGTGCCTGTTATGGCACCGCCACAGCAGCGACGGATTTACATCCGTAAGGCAGATGTGGAGAAGTACCAACCTACTGATGGATGTCCTGGATGCACTTGCGTGCTACTAGGGGAATCCACTCAGTTGCCGCACACTGAGATGTGCCGAGCGAGAATCGTCGGTCTCATGATGGATGATGAGCAAGGACGACGCCGTGTCGAAGCTCACAAAAGGAAAAGAGAGGAGACCGCGGAAGTAGGAGTGGAAGCAGATCTCCCAGCCCAAGAGGCCATGGGAGAGCCGGCCGCTGAGGCCGGAGTAGGATCTAGGCAAGACCCTGGACAAGTGATGGAGTATGTGGAGGATCCCGCGAAGAGGGCTGAACTCAAGAGAGCAGCAGCAGACCCGCCAGCATCGAGTAGCCCAAAGAGCAAGGCGAAGCCGACCACGCAGATCAAGAGACCGGGAGCGCTGTATATAGCGCCCGGAGCCAAGCAGAAGACGCAGCAGAAGCAAGGTGAGAAGCGAGAGCCCGCAGTATCTCCTGAAGAACTCCGAACGGAGACTCAACCGGCGGCTGACGCCGAGACTTCAAACACCCCGGACAAGCCCCCAGACGTGGGTGGACTTGAACTGGGTCGATTGAAGAGGATGTTGAAGTCCATGGTTGGACGGAAAGTAGAGAGAGCGTTTTTGGCTCAGGAGGTGGAGATCAACGCGGTCGAGCTGGAGCAGATCACCAAGCTGTGCGTGGAGATGGGCGCTGTTGATATCATGGAGATCTACAGCCCGAAGCGGTTCACGGCCCAAGCCGGGCAGTATGGCTTGAGGCCGGGCTTTGCGGTAGACCTTGAGGAGCAGAAACCGGACGGTTCCTACTGGGATCTCAGCAAGACTGAGGACGTCCGAGAGCTCGAGGAGTATGTGGACGAGGTCGAGCCGACATTGCTCACAGGGAGCCCACCTTGTGACCAATTCTCCCAGCTCCAGAACATCAACAAGTACAGGGTGAGCCCAGACAAGAGGCGCGAGAAGATGGATAGAGCAGTTGCTCATTTGCATACCGCCTGTAGGTTCTACAGGAAGCAGTTGCAGGCAGGTAGGTTCTTCTTGCATGAGGCACCGTGGAGTGCTACCTCTTGGAAAGACCCGGAGGTCCGTGAGCTCACTGAGAGACCGGACGTGTACACTGTCCGAGGCCCAATGTGCAGATGGGCTATGGTCGCTACGGACCGGAGGGGTTTGCAGGGCACAGGATATGTGCGGAAAGAAACTGGCTGGATGACCAACCATCCAGGTTTGGCCCAACTGTTGGAGGGCGAATGCACCAACAATGTGCCGGGGAAACCATGGCACCGGCACATCCACCTGATCGGAGGACTCGCTAGACCGGCGGCCCGTTATCCGCCAGCGCTAGTGCGAGCGGTCCTGAAGACTTTGAAGAGCCACCTTGTAGAGAGTGGCCAGTTGAGTGCATTGGACGCAGCAGTTGCAGGTCCAATCCCAGAGGAGAGCTTCGTGACGCCGGAAGACGTGGAGCAGTACTGGGACGACGTGAATGGTGGGTTTTTGCCACCAGACCGAGTCAGGGAGGCACGTCAGCTCGAGTTGGACTATCTTAGGAAGCAAGAGGTTTACGAGAAGGTGCCGCTCGAGGAATGCCTCAGAGAGACCAGCGGGAAGGGTCCAATCACCACCCGTTGGATAGACACCAACAAGGGAGACCCCGCCAATCCCAACTTCAGGTCGAGATTGGTGGTCCGGGAGATCAAGGCCCGGAAGAGTCCAGAGGAAAGGATTCCTCAGAACATGCTGTTTTCGTCAACACCGCCTTTAGAGGCTATGAGGCTGCTATGTAGCCTATGGGCCACTGAGCGTGTATCCCATGGAGGACGACCACTCAAGATCGGACTTTGGGATATATCAAGAGCCCACTTCTATGGCGTACCCAAACGCCGCATATACATCCAGTTGCCGGACGAGGACGCCAGTCCGGGAATGGTGGGTCGTTTGACTAAGTCGATGTACGGGACACAGGATGCCCCTAACATATGGCAGCAGCACTACACGCAGCTGTTGATCAAAGCCGGATATCTCCGGGGAAAGTCAAATGGCTCAGTGTTCTATCACCCGACACTGGGAATAAGAGTGCTGGTGCACGGAGATGATTTCATGGCGTTAGGAGACGCCGAGGCGCTGAAGGAAGTAGATACTTTGCTTCGCAGTGCCTACGAGTTGAAATGGCTCGGGACGATAGGTGATGAGGAAGGAGACCACAAGGAGGTCCACTTTCTCAACCGGCTCATTCGTTGTGAACAACATCAAGGAGCGAGTGCGATCCTGATCGAGCCAGATCGACGCCATGTTGATTTGCTTGTGCAGCAGCTTGGCATGGAGAATGCCAAGGGAGCGGAGACACCGGACGTGAAGAAGTCCGTGGATTTGCAGATGCAGGAAGCCCGGAGCCCAGCTCTACCGAAAGAGCAGGCTTCCCTGTATCGCTCATGCGTGATGAGGGCAGCGTACCTGTCACAGGACAGGTTGGACATCAGCCACGCTGTGAAGAATCTTGCGAGGAAGATGGTTTCTCCTACAGAGGCATCTTTGCAGGATTTGAAGCGACTGTGTCGCTACCTCATCAAGAAGCCGGACGTGTGTCAGGTCTTTGCACGGCAAGCCAAGCCGAGCAAGCTCCGAATCCAGGTGGATTCCGATCATGCCGGAGACGCAATAACGAGGAGATCCACAACAGGCATGGTTGCTCTGTATGGGTTGCATGTGCTCAAGCACAGCAGCAATGTGCAGTCGACCATCGCTTTGTCGACTGGGGAGTCGGAGTATTATGCTCTTGTCAAAGGAGGTTCAGTTGGTCTAGGCCTACAGTCACTCTTGGAGGACTTTGCGGTCGAGACCCAGGTGCTGATTCAATCAGATGCGACTGCAGCAAAAGGAACTGTCAATCGGGCAGGTCTGGGAAAGGCCCGTCACATCCAGACGAGGTTCCTGTGGTTGCAGGAAAGGGTCAGCATGGACCATCTGAGGGTGGAGCATACCCCTGGCAAGTCCAACAGGGCGGATGCTCTAACAAAGAGCATTCCAGGTGTACAGATGTCTGAGACCATGCGAAGGTGTGGTTATGTTTTCCTTAACCAGCGTAGCAAGGGACAGCTTAAGCTACTAGAAGGCTAAGGTCCCTGGCCAGACTCCGCTACCTATATTGCTGTGCGAGCGTGTACAGAGACGCTCTTCCAGCAAGGAGGAGTCATGATATGTATAGTCATAATTGCCCAATGCGCTGATTGCACTCCGTGTGGTTTTGGCTCAAGAAAAGGGTGCGCTCCGCAGTGCACCCCAGAGCCGAGATATTGCATTTTGAAATTGGGACCGATCTATTTAAGGAAGCAGCTGGATCCGCTCGAAAAGGGCTTTCAGCAATCCAGGGCTTCTCCGCTTGAAAGGGAAAGCCAGGGGAGCTGTTGTTTGGGGTTCCGATCGCCAATGTGTGTGGCATCATTTGATAGAAACCAGTTGGGGTGACCAGTTAGAAGGAAAGGACCCGGGTGGGTGGGTGGGATTTGGGTAGGAACCGAAAGGAAGGCCACTATTTTGGGGGTCGGAATCCTTCTGACACTCGCACATTTGGGCTGGAAGGGACAGAGCAAGTTGTCAAACGCATCTTTGGAGAAGTCAAAATGGGCTAGGGAACTTCAGAAATGGATGCAACCAATGAATACCCTTCTACCAAACATGGAAGTACACGGAAGCACAGTTGGAAGACGACTTTCCGTTCCGGCAAGGGGCCTTCTCCCCTTGAAGTAACAGCCGTGGATGTGAGGTCAGCCACTAAGCCATGTTCCTGGAGTGCACCAGTTGACGGATGAATCCTTATGAATACTGGGGCAAAAAACGCCTATATACTTCCACAGATGTAGTAGTACCACTTCAAACCGGAAGCTTCCCCCAAGCGTTTCAGCTATTTTCAGAGGCCCAAAACAAGAATGGCAAGGGGTGCTCAACATTACTTTGGGGAACAGTTTCCCTTCAAGCTACCATTCGTGCGGATGTCATTGCGTCAGAGGCACGCAGCTAGGGCCCTCGGATTGCGGCTCCCGCCGAGGAACAAGAACCATATGATGCGCGAGTACTCTCCAGGTGGGGGCGTTGGCGCCCCGTGCGAACAGCGGATCCCGTTATTGGACCCCAATCTTTCTTATCTTTGTCATCTTTCTTTCTGTTTTTCCTCCTTTGGTCCTTTCTTTCTGTCTTTCTGTCTGCCTTTATTTCTTTCATTCGTTCGTATTGTCTAACCAATTCTATCTACCGAGAAATCAATCTATACCTAGTCTATCTATCTGCCTACCTATCTAGCTATCTAGCTATCCCTATCTACCTCAATGTATCTTAGCTAGAGAGAGAGAGAGCTAGCTAGCTCATCTATGTCCAGTACGGAGGTTCTTGTTCCACGGCTCCTTCGACTTGTGGTTTGGCCTGGGTTGGAGGTTTGGGGGGCAAAAAGAAAATCCCAATGTGCGCGACCAGAAGGACCAGGGCTTCAAATCCCACAATCCAACCCAAGGGTTACCTGACGAGACAGAAAGACGTAAAGGTTTAGATAAAGATATGGCTGTGGTTGTCAAAAATAGGGTAACCCCAGAATGGCACCCTGGTAAATGGAAAAACTGGCTAAAAGCTGCAGAAGTTCATAACTTGTCACCACGCAGATTTTGGAGTTCACCGTCTTCCTTGGTTGCGTTAAAGGGAAAACCAGAGACAGAACTCCTCGTTTTGAGGGATCTCCTCAGGAGACAAACCCATGAGTTGTAATTGGGGACATCATGTACGCGTTTTCTGCCTATTGAAATGAAAATACCAGCCTCACAATTATGTTTGTAGCACGCAATCAGGGATTAGCTCCTTCTGTAAAGCTGTTTCAGCCACATGGTGGTTTCCCAGGTTGCCGAACGGGCCTAGATGAGCTTTGGCCTGTTTCTATGGCTCGAATCGCTCGGCCTATGACGTCCTTTAATGACGATGAATGATCAGTATTGCTAGTCCACGCTACATCCACGCTACACCCACCTATGAAAATTGCTAATCCACGCTACATCCACGCTACACCCACCTATCAAAATTGCTAATCCACGCTACATCCTCGCTTCATCCACCTATCAAAATTGCTAATCCACGCTACATCCACGCTTCATCCACCTATCAAAATTGCTAGTCCACGCTACATCCACGCTACACCCACCTATGAAAATTGCTAATCCACGCTACATCCACGCTACACCCACCTATCAAAATTGCTAATCCACGCTACATCCTCGCTTCATCCACCTATCAAAATTGCTAATCCACGCTACATCCACGCTTCATCCACCTATCAAAATTGCTAGTCCACGCTACATCCACGCCATCCACGCTACACGCGCTATGAAAATTGCTAATCCACGCTACATCCCACGCTTCATCCACGAATTGCTAGTCCACGCTACATCCACGCTACATCCACGCTTCATCCACCTATGAAAATTGCTAATCCACGCTACATCCTCGCTTCATCCACCTATCAAATCCACGCTACATCCACGCTACACCCACCTATGAAAATTGCTAATCCACGCTACATCCACGCTACACCCACCTTTGAAAATTGCTAATCCACGCTACATCCACGCTTCATCCACCTATGAAAATTGCTAATCCACGCTACATCCTCGCTTCATCCACCTATCAAAATTGCTAATCCACGCTACATCCACGCTTCATCCACCTATCAAAATTGCTAGTCCACGCTACATCCACGCTACACCCACCTATGAAAATTGCTAATCCACGCTACATCCACGCTTCATCCACCTATCAAAATTGCTAATCCACGCTACATCCTCGCTTCATCCACCTATCAAAATTGCTAATCCACGCTACATCCACGCTTCATCCACCTATCAAAATTGCTAGTCCACGCTACATCCACGCTACACCCACCTATGAAAATTGCTAATCCACGCTACATCCACGCTTCATCCACCTATGAAAATTGCTAATCCACGCTACATCCACGCTACACCCACCTATCAAAATTGCTAATCCACGCTACATCCACGCTTCATCCACCTATCAAAATTGCTAGTCCACGCTACATCCACGCTACACCCACCTATGAAAATTGCTAATCCACGCTACATCCACGCTTCATCCACCTATGAAAATTGCTAATCCAAGCTACATCCACTCTACACCCACTTATCAAAATTGCTAATCCACGCTACATCCACTTATCACAATTGCTAAATCCACGCTACATCCACTTACCAAAGTCTCAATCTCATGAAGGAGTCCAGCGGAAAATAGCTGTAACATGTCCAGTCACATGACTGTTGCTTCGGAAGTGGACACCTTTGAGGCGATTTCATCATGGGGGCTGGGGGGGAGGGAGGGGGGGAGGGAGGCAGCCCAAAGAAGCCTAAATAAGGCCTTATCAAGGGGCTTATGTGGGCTCCCTCCCTCCCCCCCCTCCTTCCCCCCCAGCCCTCATGATTTTAAGACAATGGCTCTCGTCTTAAAGTATGGGTTTCGCTGGTCCAGTTTAACCCGGTGGTGGTTTGATCGATTTTTGTCCAGACCCCACGTACAGGAGGCTCGGAAAAGGCAACGTGGGAAAGCTGTTGTATCTACATTTGGAAATGGGTGTGGCTCAAAATTAAACAGGGGGGGGGTTACGCAGGTTTGGTCCATGTTTCCACTTACCAGGGTTCCATTTTGGTACCGGTTTTTTGAGCCACAGCCAAATGAACAGTGACATGTCAATCAGACATTGTGATCTTCCATGTGCGATTGAAAAGAGCGGACATTTGCACAAGGGCCAAGGTGAAACCTGCCTGGGACTCTGGAACCCTTTAGTACCACATCGTTTTTACCAGGGTGGCATTTATCATTATGCATCAGGTGTCAGTATCTTGCCCGACGACCTGTCGGTGGCAGAATCCGAGACGCTTCCCATGCCCGAGGCAAGATCCCGATGGCGACGGGACGTGGCAAACGATTGCGCCAAGTTTCTCATGCCATTTGCTGAAATGAAGATTTGTTAATTTCCCCTTGTTTGTTTTTTCAAGGGAATCAATTTCATTTTTGGTTTTGATTTTCTCATGTTTTCCAGGAAGCAAAAACGCACATGCAGGTTTCTCATGTCGGTTCGGTCCCACTTTCTTCATTGGTCAATGGTCATCCATTTGGTAGGAACGAGAAAGTGGCCGAGCACAGCATTTCAATCAACAAGGGGAGACGCACCCTAAATTTCCAAGGTGCGCTCGCTTGTCATTGCCCGAACTGCGTGGGAAACCGGCACCAAGCTTGGCTGATTTGGCTTGGGAGAGCCCAGCAATTTTGAGTGCAAACCATGCGGCACCCACAATTTGTTAGCCCAAAATAATTTGTATGGAGAGGGATACTCTTCAACTCGTCCATGCTGCCCCACTTACCAGCTTACTCCTGCGCTCCGTGGGAGCTTTGGCTTTGGGCCTTGTTCCTGTTTGATCTGGCTCCGTGCCGGGATGAGCACTCAGGGGTAGAACATGAGTTATTTCCCTAAGAAAGCCATGCCTCGGAGACCACTTGTTTGCCCTTCCATGTTGTTCAGTCGCGGGGTACCCTTGTCAGGTTCGGGCGTTTTTAGAGCGCCAAAAAGCAAACCACCGCCTGGCTAATCATACGAGAGCATTTTGAAGGGCCAGGCGGATCGAGGAAAACACCATGTCCTGACGTCATGGATTAAAAAGAGCCCTTGGATGATTGGAATGTGCTTCATCGAAGCAACAAAATCAAAGCTCATGGATAGAAGTCAACACAACATCATTTTGCCCCTTATGTGTTCATATTCTTTGGGCACATGCGCTCAAGTTTGAGTTCCTGCCCTGACCCCCACCTGGGCTCCACACCTGCTGAATTTTGCCAGCCTTGGAGTGGCGAACTTCACACATGGCGAGGCTCTGCTAGAGTGGACAATTTTAGAGGGCGCATTTTTAAGCGGGATATATCTTGCGTATTTGTGCGGGTTTCTGCCGAATTCTATGAAGTTGGAGCCTCCAACGTGTGAGTTTTTATGTGCCAGTGCGTCAGGAAGAGGAGGACGAAGAGGTGCGCATGTGGCGCCGCAAGCGAACACCTCTTCTTGCTCGTGCTGATAGGTATAGGGAATGAGAAATGGAATGACCCCTATTAAAAGCCATCCAACTGGTTTCCTTCAAGGACCCCAGGTTCACTCCGTCATGCCCTAATGAGCACCAGCAAGTCTTGTGACATTGATGTATGTTGATTGCATCTAGTGTTGACGTATCGCGCGCGCATTGAGAAGTGTTCGTGAAAGCAAATGGACCTGTTTAGCGTAAGCTCGAACTTGCGGGCCGATGCTGACAGTTTTCTTTCAATCTGACTTGCGGTTGGCATAGACCACGGGACATGTCTCAAACTGCTGGAAACCGACCCCTTCAGTTGCTTAAGCACTTGTGACGCGTGCGTAGTTTGAGTTTCAGTTGATTCCCTCGTGAATCCTTGGAAGATATGCCCAGAGCGAATTCCCATGACCCCCACAGGGCAATGCAGCAAGACGCTAAGGCAAAATATTTTCCCGACAGGATATCACACCATGAAGGTCCTTTGCTTGATGCAAGCATGCCCAGATCCTTTTGGACCCAGAACATGTGGCCCGACAAAATTGCACTGCCGAAAGGCTTCTGCAGAATTGCGGTCTCAGGATCGCCTCCCTCGGCGGCATTAATTTGAGAACTGGAACTCATCGGAGGGCAAAATGAGCACCTGGGTCCTTTAAAGCGAAACCAAAGTTGTGGCAGTTCAAAGGCTTATTTGACAAGGGCTTGGCTCTCGGGAACTCACGGTACCATTGCTGGCCTTGCCCGGAAGGAGGCTTCGCGGTATGGTTTCTTTTCGAATGCCCAGAGTGTTTGAGGCTGAAAGTGAAACCAAGAAGGAAACCAGCATTTTGAGTGTCCTTGTTACATATCTATGTTTGTTTCCGGATTTCAATTGTCCTGTTTCTTGATGCTTTTTGTGGGGCGGTGTTCGCCTTTTAGGTGGAACACAGTTGACGAGAGAGAGGGGCAGACCTGGCCATGGCCACTTTGCGGTGGGGCATCATCGGCTGCGGCGATGTCACCGAGAAGAAGAGTGGCCCAGCGTTTTCCGGGACCTCTCAGCTGGAGGCGGTGATGCGGCGAGACGCCGAGAAAGCCCGGGAGTATGCGGAAAGGCACCAAGTGCCCAAGTGGTACAGCACCGTAGAGGAACTGCTTGCTGACCCTTCTGTGGATGCCGTGTACATTGCCACCCCGCCGGGCTCGCGAATTGACATTGCCAAGCAGGTGGCAGAGGCTGGGAAGCCCTGTTCCTGAGCGCTAAATAGCCAGTGACTCTTGATTTACCACAGAAACAAACAGGGATGGGTATTTCGGTTAAGCTTTCCTGACCCCCTCTAAAACGCACCCAGGTTATCTTGAAAAGCCCATGGCCCGTAACTTCGACGAGTCCCAGCAGATCGCGGACTTCTTCCAGGCTGCCTCGCTGCCGTTGTTTGTCGCCTATTACCGGAGGGCGTATCCTCGGTTCCAGCGCCTCAAGGCTTTGCTGGCAACGCTCGGGGACGTGTGTGAGGTGCGATATCGATTGGAGCGCCCCGTGACGGAAGCGAATGGTTGGCGACACGACGTCTCCGTGTCCGGGGGAGGGCTTTTTGTGGACCTCGGGTCACATGTGTTGGACTTGCTAGACTTTTTGGTGGGGCCCTTGCAAAGGCTACAGGGCGTGGCAACACGAGCTGCAGGCAAGACCGGTGCAGCGCCCGAAGACGTCGTGGCGGTGTCCTTCCTTAGCAAAGATCAGGCCGTAGGCACGGCGACCTGGAACTTCAGGTCTACGACTTCCAGCGACACCTTGGAGATCTTTAGCTCCAAAGCCAAGGTGACGGTACCGGACTGCTTGAACGGCTGCGAGGTAGGTATGGGTCAAAATTAAACCACCAGCGGACCGTGTACCGCAGGTTTTAGTACAGTAATAGTACACTTCTACTTGTTACGATTCTATTTCGGGCACCTATTTTTGACCCACAGCCAGGTCATCACCGAGTTTTCGGACGGATCCGTGGATCGTTGGCAGGAAGTTCCACCCGTCCCTGTGCAGCTGCCCATGATCCAAGCCGTCACCGCGGCCATTTTGAACCCGCCGAACGGACGCGGAAGCGACGCGGCGAGTTCTACCGCGCCTCGGCGCTGCGCACGGCCATGTACATGGACCAAGCCCTCGAGTCCTTCTATGGCGGCCGTGGTGGGGCATTTTGGGACGCAGCGGACCGCTGGGAGCCCAACCGAGTGCCGTGAGCCGTGCACACTGGTAGTGGCAGAAGGAGACAAGCAAAGAGAAACGGCTCCGCTGTATGTCTACCGATGTTTACCGTATGCGTGGGAGCCCTGAGTTGCAAGCCTAACTTGACAGAGTGAAGGTCCACACTGCTGTTTGTAACTTTGTTTGCCAGAAGTACAGGCCCATGATCGTATAGAAATCTTTAGGAGGCAGGCGGCTTTGCATGACAAACCTCTACAAGGTGCCTAGTGTTTATTGAGACAACCAGTGGGCTAGCAGAGCCTTTGGGAATGGAAGATTGATGAATGTGGTTGCACCTTTTAGGGCCCTTCACAATAGATACTCTTTCCTTGTCAGTTAGGCCCCCTCTAAAGAATCCCGCATCGATCTGACCCCTTTTGGTCCATAGCTTTCAAAATCTCCAGTAATCCATGCTCCACGTGGAAGAAACATGATGCCCAAGCGCGACCGGGGGCCTCACTGTTGTTTCCCATGTCCCCGGTAAGGCTAATTAATACTTTGACCGCGGCACATGAACGGGGGGGTTTTCCGGCCGATTTAAGCAGGACACTTAAGCCGAAAGCAGCCCGTCACCCAGCCCAAAGGCTCCCGTCTCTCAGCTTATGTCTCTCATTCCGATTTTTCAATCGCAGGCGCTGGAAGAGAGGCAAGATGTGCTTCGGGGTGAGCGCCGTTTGGTCGCCTGAGTCAACCCAAGAACCATCTCCCGAGGTCAAGCCTCGATCAACCAACCTGGGACCTAACTGCGGTCCATCTCAAGGTCCGATGTCGATATGACGCATTTCCATCCCATGGTTCCAGGCCTCCACGATAGACCTCGGCCGGATGAAGCGGAGCCAGTCTCATAATTTCATGCGGCAAAGACAAAAACATTTCGCCGCGTCGTCTCTGAATTTGAACGTGAACCAGAAAACCAGCACACGCAAAAAACACACACAAAAGAGAGGAAGAAGAGCAGCCGGTCCCGCGTGGGGAGTCCGGAGTGGCTGTTGCTCCGCTGGCAGGCCCAGCGTGCAACAGTTGGTGCAGAAGTACGAGGCTCCGATCTCACAGGTGCGACGGTTACCCACGGGTTGCCGAGTCGAATTGACGACGTGTCGTTTCTTGAGGCTTGGGGTACCCTCTCTCCCAACGGTTGGCAGACCGGAGGTCCCTCCAAAAAGGACTGTGATCTTCCAGGCTCCCTTCTTACAGGTGCTAACAGTAGCGGGAGAGAGGGGATTCGGACCTTTTGTTGGTCAAAGGGAAACCAAGAGAGAACTGTTGTCGTTTAGGGGATTCTCTCTTTTCAGAAGCACACATTTCCCATAGGTAACTCAAAGCTTCCCAGGCTGGAAAAGCAAAATGGAACATGATGCAGGGTTATCTATACTGCCTGGGAGCTAACCAGAGAGGGGCTTTTCGGCAGGCGCAAGTCCGGAAGGATGTCCGGAGCTTTCCACTAGTGGCACATTTCACACATTTCACAAGCGTGCCTTTGGATATGTGTCAAAAGTGGAGGGCCCAAAGTGGCTGCTTTCCCTCTGGTTTCCCTTTCAACATTGAGCCAACCCCAAGAAGGGTGCCCTCAACGAAAACACCCACCCACCAAGTGGGTGTGTGACTCGGGGGTAGGGAGCGAAAGCCCATGAAAGTGAACGGGATCCAATCGATTCTGGGGTAGGCCTAGGATACACTTTCATGGGGGCATCTTGAAACTGCAGCTGTTGCTTACGTACTCTCCTGCAAACTGACATGGAGCCGCAAATCCCTTCAGTTCTAGAGTAAGTTCTTTTGGGGCGACCCTTACTTCTATGCCAACTTGAAAGCTGACCAAGAGCATCCAGGTACTTAGGTAGCCAACTCCTTTATCACATTAGTATGGCGTGGGATCGACCAAGAGGAATGTCGGATGTCCCTTTCCCACAAGACTGTGGGGGGAACACTGGCCAAGGACTCCTCAAGAATCAGGACCTAAGAAGGTGTCTTCCGAACCTTCTCCGGAAGGGGACCTTTGGTTGTAGGTCCTCCAGCTAGGTGCCCTTTCCCCCATTTTTTGGTTTTTTTGGGTTCCCCTACTAAAATAGACTACAGAAAAAAGGGGAAAAGAAAACAATCGGGTACCCTTATTCTAAGCTCTCTACTGGAGGACCTAGGTGATATTTATTTTGAGAGCGGACAGACATGGATGGGTTTTGAAGTTCTGTTTTTAAAGCTCCGACCATAGATTTCCTTTTTAGGTTATGTTTGGCTAAAAATAGATGGCACTGGTTTGGATGGGTTTTATTCCAT